CCGGGTGTGCACAAATCATTTTCCTTATAATTAAATCAATTCACTCATTAAAATATACTCTCTCTATCTTAATTTAATTATCTCACTTTTAAAATTTTGAGTGTTTTAATTTAATCATCTCAACTTTTTCATTTATATAAGACATTAAATATTATTCTTTCAACTTATTCCTATTATTCTAGATTATTTTTAAAAAAAGATAAAGTTTCTATTAAGGATAAATATGTTGCTTCCTACTAACAATCTATTGATCTAAGTAGAAGGTATTCGACTCTTTTTAAGTAAGTTTTCTTGTAAGGGAGAGCTTTCCTTTTATGGAATCTAACTTGACTTAATTTTAAATTAGTAGATGTTCAATGTAACTTCCAAATACTAAGGAGTTAGTAAAAAAAAAAAATGTTACTTCCTCTATTTAGCAATAATCTTAATTTGACTTTATAACTTTTAAGATAAAAAGTTTAGGCACAAATTTAACATAGCCCATAATGATAAATTTTTTATCAAGTAAAATCTTTTAAACAAGAATTATATAAGAAGAAGAAAATTTCAAATACCATTAATTTGTTATGTTTAATATTTTCACCTAAACTTTTTACTTAAAGTTAAAAAGTTAAGCTAAGCTTACAATTATTAAACAGGATGAGCATTTTAACACATAATTTTAGAGTTTTTAACCAATCTTTAAATTATTTAAAATATGTATAAAGTCAAAAGGTGAGACAACTAATTAAAATGAAAGGGAGGGAGTATGAATCAAAATACATATTTTACTCCATTGTTTGACATTGTTTGACTAATTATTATTAAACTTTATTGTAAGATAATGTTGTACTTATATCAATCATATTTATTTTATTAGTTTTTAACATGTACTCAGTATATAAGTTGAGGGTGCAACAAATTTATTTATTATTATTAATTTACATTAAAAAAATAAGTAAAAGCTAATCTTTATTTTTGCACCATCTCATGCAAATGATTTTTATTTTTCAATTAATTAATCAAAGTCAATATTTATATTTTTAATTAAATAAGGACATAAGTTAATGGTGCATATATTGCATCTTTTTACTTTTAATTTATATTAAAAAATTATAAAAATAAATTTTATTTTCAATACCAATATGACGTAAAATATTTTAATTGGATAGTCAATAAAACTAAAATAAAAAATTTCTTTTTACAAACTTATGGTGAAAAGTACAATAAAATACTCTTAAAATTCCATAAATTAATAATAAAAAATGTATATTTATATTTTTTATTAAAAAAAGTACATTTATACATCAAATATTTTCTTACTAGTATTTCGTTAATTAGTTGAAGCACCGAATTCAAGCTACATTTTATCCATCCCAAGCATGGGCCTCGATCTGTGTCAACCACTCCCAAACATTCAATTTCTTTCAACAAAACTTAAGTTTGGAAACTTAATTTGATTCACTTTCATTCCCATTTTTGCATCTCAATTTAATTTCACCAGTGTTTTAATTAACTTGCTATATATCCTCACCCTAACCCTAAATTATTGTTCCATACGCGCCCTGAAAATGAGAGCCTACATACAAGTAGGATGGGGTCAATGGTCTACCCTCGTCTTATTTTTTCCCTAGGTAATTGCTTGGATTCTGCTTTTTCCGCACCATTTCTTCCTAACACAATCTGAATGCTTTAAAGAATTTTCATATTCCTTTCCAACACATTTCCTCTTTTTAACTCATCTTCCTCCTCAAGTTACCACACTCCTTGAAGCTTGAAGATTGAAGTTTTCTTGATTCTGTGTCTTCTTCTGTTTCGGTGATCATCATTTCCAGATAAGGCAATATTCTTTGCTCAAAAATTATGCATATATGCCAAGTAATATATATACCTTAGAGAATTGAGCTTCATCTTTGAACACACTTCTGATCATACTCTCTGCTTATAACTGCAGTTGTTTTCTTTGTTGTGTAGTACAGAACACTGTACGATGGTTGTTTCACATTAATTTGTCACTGCTCCTAAATTCCCGTTGATTTCCTGACTTTGGATCCACCCAATTCTTCAATTTTTTTTTTTTTTCAAGTTCAACCATGAAGGAACAGAAGAAGACTTTTAAGCAAGCTTGGTAGAGAAGAGAAAAAAAGCTTCCATCTTGGTTATTGATTATTGGCTTTGTATAGATCTTTTCTAGATCGGAGCTATCAATTGATTTTAAGTTATATACTTTATCAGATCTAGATGTAGAGATGTCGGGTTTCCCTCACCAGTTTCTTCACCTACAGAGACTATCCATTCCTCAACACCAACAGACCCCATCTTCAGATCCTAAAGACTCCCAAGACGATTCACCCAAGCCTGATTCAGACACGGCCGCCGCCACCAGTTCTGGAGATGCTGCAGCCACTACCTCAACTCGACGTCCTCGAGGCCGCCCTCCTGGATCCAAAAACAAACCCAAACCTCCTATTATAGTCACTCGAGACTCCCCAAATGCTCTCCGATCCCATGTTCTGGAAGTTTCCAGCGGCGCTGACGTTGTGGAGAGCGTGTCCAGTTATGCAAGGAGGAGAGGAAGAGGAGTGTCCGTTCTTAGCGGCAACGGAATGGTCATGAATGTTACACTTAAACAGCCGGCGGGAGGAGCTGTAGTGACTTTGCACGGTAGGTTCGAGATACTCTCGCTGTCTGGGACAGTGCTGCCACCTCCAGCGCCACCTGGTGCGGGTGGATTGTCAATTTTTTTATCGGGAGGGCAGGGACAGGTGGTTGGAGGCAGCGTTGTAGGGCCACTGGTAGCTTCTGGTCCGGTGGTGTTGATGGCGGCATCGTTTGCTAATGCTGTGTTTGAGAGGCTCCCTTTGGATGAGGAGGAAGGGGGAGGGCAGGTTCAGCCTTCGGCGTCTCAGTCTTCGGGTGTGACAGGAAGTGGACAGGCGGGTGATGGAGGAGGAAGTAGCAGCGGTGGTGGCAGTGGCGGGGGAGGAGGTCTTTTTAATATGGGAGGGGGTTATCAATTTTCAAGTGACTTGTTTGGATGGGGTGGAAGTGCTCCTCGGCCTCCTTTCTAGGTATGGATATATATTAATTAACAGGACTTTGAATTAATGTGTTCTGATGCATTATTAGTGCGTGCGTGTGTGTATGATCACATCCTCCATCAGACTTTGTTATGATATGCTTTCTCTGGGATTAATTAAATTAATGAGAGAGAAGCCAACAAATCTCATGTTTATGATATCAACAATATGATAAATATGAAGTGTACGTTGTGATTATATATATATGGTTCATCAACAAGCTAGAAAAAACCAAGCATGGAATTATTAATTATACTCTAAAGTTTTAGTTAATTTGAAGTTTGATGATGGCTTGGAGATTTGTTTTTCAAGACAATGGAAATTATGACAGTTTGGAGCAAAGGATATTTACAAGACATAATATATATATATATAATGGTATCAGAGCTTTTTCATTTACATAGGGGTATATATCTGTAAGTTTTTATCATGTGTATGTATAATAATTATTTAATCTTCCCTTCTTTAATTTCTTCTTAATTATATATATTTCCATATTTGTTGCTATTGGTAGTGGTATTGTGGGGAGGTGTAATGCTCCTCGATCGTTTGTAGCTAGGTAGGGTGTAGGGTTTTATTAAATAATTTGTCTTTGTTTTTCCATATTTTATGCAGCACTAAGCACTTTATCATCTATATATTTGTTGATTTAGATAGAATTACCATGTGTTTAAGTTTGTCAATTTTTAACTTTTAAAATGTTACCCACACTCAATCCTAGCCAGCTAGTTAGTGGTCCTTTCCTGCTCTTCTTCATGTGATACTAATTTATGATTCATGATATAAACGGAGTATCCATATAATATACATAAATAACCTAGCTAGTTAGTTGTATTTAAATAGTATATATATATTGTTTAATGAATCCCATAATTAAATTCATTTATATATATGTCTGCATATATGTTCTTGTTTGAACCTCAAATTAAGGATACTTAATTCATTTGTTATATGGTATATATGTTTAATTGTTCCTCTTGCATTGCATGTGGATTGTGGAAAGTGTCTTATATTATATATTGCTTAATTTGTTTCATTATTATGTGGTTACTCAAGAGAGAAAAAGCAAAAGCAAAGAATTTTAAAAGCTTGTTCTTCTGCTACTAGAAAAAACCCTAGTTTGTTTCTAACTTTGAGAGAAAGATATATAGTATATCTCTTTTACTTTAATATGATATACATGAGAAGGAATTCATTTAATTTTACACATTATAATTATATAAAATTTCAATTATTTATTTTTTTATTTTTAATAATTGAGATTTATTTATATTTATTAAAAATAATTATTAGTTTCATATAAAAAGTTAAAATAAATTTTAATAATTAAAAATAAAATAATAAATTATTAAAATGTTATATAAATACAGTGTATATAATTAAATTTAAATAAATTCCTCCTTTAGTACACACACATGACCAAGGTGATAGCTTTAATCAATATCCAATATATTTGCTATTGTTAAGTAGTATGGCGCAGTAAAAAGTAGTGAGTAGAAGAAACTGGAACTGGGGATTCTTCCCTTGTGTCATGAGCTTTCCGCCTACTTCTATGAATTGAATACTTTTAACTTTAGGCATATTTAACGTGTCTGTCTGACTGTCTGCAATCTGTCCTTAGACGCTCTTATCTTTTGGACTTTGAGATTTGGGAACGCCCGCAATCTTCTACTTCTTCTACTACATTCTACATGAAGAGAAGAGGAGAGAGAGTGTTAACCCATTTCCCAAAAATTAATCTCACTCAGACATGGCAGGCAGGAGACTATATATATATATTGTTGCTTTTTCTTTTTTTTTTTGGTAAAATATATTGTTGCTTTTAGACATACCATATTGCTACTATATACTAAAGAAAATAAATAGGGCTATTGCAATATAAAGTACTTTCTCAGATGTCACA